GCAAGAGGTGTTCTGCCGCTGCGAGCCACAGCAGACTGTGGCGCAGGGACCGGAGCTGGGGGTGCCCTGCTGGACCCACAACTCCTTGGAGAAGGTTCCTGCTGCACACAGCTCCACCACCCTCACCCTGTGCTGCCATGTCTTTAGCCCTAAATAGCTCCTTCCTTTATACAATCTCTGCCTCCCTGGTTTTCCTGCTGCAGGAGACTTCCCTCCGGTCCCTCTCCCCCCCACACAGCACCTGCAACCCACAGGATGCGCTTCCTGCCTCCTGACTTCTCCCCCAACGCTGGATCCCCCTCTGGGAAACACCCTCACGTGCTGCATGTCCCCCCTCTTCCTCCTCAGCATCACTGGAGTGGCCCTGGGGCTGCAGGGCTGGGTATGGGGTCTGGTTATGGAGCTGCAGGGCTGGGTATGGGGTCTGGTTATGGGGCTGCAGGGCTGGGTATGGGGTCTGGTTATGGGGCTGCAGGGCTGGGTATGGGGTCTGGTTATGGGGCCGCAGGGCTAGTTATGGGTCACCCCGTGTTCCCTGGGACTGTTACAACAAAACCCTCAGTCTTTCCGTTGAACACTCTGGGATTTTTTGAAAATTTCCATTGATTCTATGATTCTAAAATAATATTTGCTTCATTTTTAAAAAAAAAAGAAAACAGGAAAAAGAAACTTTAAAACTATTCTCCTCCCTTTCCCTCTCCCCCACCCACTTTTTGGGAATTTTAAAGCAGTTTGGCCTAAGGGCCCACCCCACAAAATGATGTCTTTTTCGCTTTCTCTGTAGATGTAAATGAAGAAAATGATCTGCTTTTCTATAGAAGTGTTGGAGGGAGGGTCCCACCCCGGCAGGCAGCACATGCTGGACAAGGCAGGAACCTGCTCTGTGGTTCTCGAGCTGCTTATCTGTGCTTTGCCTCCCTCTGCCCCCTCCAGCCCATGCTGCAACTTCCCCTGAGTGTCTTTTATCTCCTTATCCCCAACCAGATCTCCTTCAGATCTCCCAAGACCTTCTCCTCCCCATTGCTGTGCTAGGGCTAAAAATGGGACTTTTGGGCATGAAAGTCACCCAAACTGTTAAAAAAAGCCCCAAACAAGCTGTCACCTTGCTTGGGTACCACAGCCAAAGAAAGCACCCCCAGAGAGCACTGCTGGGGGCAACACCCCTGTTTCAGAGCAAAGCCTCCCTCTCCCCACACGCCAGTGGAAGGGGCTGGGGCTGCAAACGCGGCTCACCCTGAAGTTCTCGGGGTCCACGTGCAGCTTCTCACAGTGCAGCTCCGACAGCTTGGAGTAGGTCGCCTTGATGTTGTCCAGGTTCTTGACGGCCTCCCCGAAGGAGGTGAGCACCTTCTTGCCGTGGGCACGGACCTTGGGGTTGCCAATGATGGCCGTGGGACTGGACAGGTTCCCGAAGGAAGAGAAGAACCTCTGGGTCCAGGGGTAGACGATCAGCAGCCTGC